TGTGTGTGTGTGTGTGTGTGTGTGTGTGTGTGTGTGTGTGTGTGTGTGTGTGTGTGCCTCCAGGAATAAATTGAAGCCAGAAGTGAGCTGCATCGAGAGCCAAGTTAGCATCCAACACTCCTCCCTCAAAGGCTCATGGGAAATGTGAGCGCTCCATGCTACTCGGAGGAGGAGGAGGCCCTCCCTACCACAACTCCAACTTTACTTAAGACACACACACAGATAGACACACACACACAAACAGGAGATTTAAGCTTATACACATATGCATGTTGTACTCATGTGCAACACGCGCAAAACAAACTGATTTTTATTTACATTATGTTGACAGAAATGTCTGACATTTTGTAAAATACCTTCATTTGCATCCATGGTTAAATGTTCCAATTACTGATGCATTCAGCCGGCAGCTTGCTGGCTTATCTTAGTCCTAAGACTCTAAACATAGAGACTTCAAGTCTGGCTCTGAGAAACTAGCCAGATAACAGACTGTTTTGTTGTTGCATTATTATGAAATTTAAAACTATCATTGTTTACAGATTTGCAAAGTATTTATGCTACATAATTTACTATCTAATTTTTCTCTTAATTAATGTGAGTAAACACACAAGCAGGAGTCCCACAGGATTGTGTTGAAGCCAGTAGCCATTAATGTTTGTTTTGAATTTAATGATGAATTTGAGTGAGGCGACATAAATACTTAGTAGAATATTAGTAGACGAGTAGTTTCCAGAGTTGGGAGTTTCTGGTGTTCTCATCTTCAAAACATTATTTAAGAGAAAAATTACAATGAACGACTACAACAGAGACTCCAATAAACGAATTAAATCATGCACATCAGCTTGTAAGTCAGTATTGTTTTATGCTTGCTTCCAACTGAATTAAAGATCTTCTTTAAGTTGCTCCAACCTGCCTCATATGCCTGGATTTTTTTTTAATCGCTATTGTTTGGTCATAATCTTTACCTTTTACTTTTTGTTATTAATCCCTTCCATGATTGGGGACTAGTACTGCTCATGTTCTTTATTCCTATCATTGAATTAAAATTTAAAGAAACATACCAACGGATTCAATACTACATTTCAGCATTTTTCACTTTTCACACAGGCAGTAAATCTGGATGCAAACAAAAGCTCCTCAAATGTGAGTAAAATCATAAAACATTTTTTTTTTAAAAACAACCTCATGCTGTATGAGAGACTGGAACAATGAAAAGTTGATATTTATGCATGGATGGTGCTCTGAGACATCTTTGAGATGCTGTATTTGTCACTATGTGCAGTAAATCAGACTGAAGTGACAGGATATTTGTATTTGACACAACAGCCTTTTTTGTTTTTTACTCTGATGACTTAGACAACTTTTTGTGGAGCATGTTGTCAGATGCAGTTTAACATTCTGTCTGTATGTGATTTGAATTATTTTGTGCACAAAAGAAACAAAAGTCTGTAAATCCCCACATAAGTGGATTCTTTTCAGTACTCACTTTGTACTGTTGTTCGTTTGGGAATTTATCTTTTTTGAAATATGTATTCTGTTCAATTTCTTCTGTAAGTACAAGAAAAGTGTCCAAAAGCATTAACACACTCTTTCTTTTAGTGCCAGTCTGTGTCTTCTCCAATGTCTTAAACAGCGCCAAGATGTGACTGTGTGTGTAGCCATTCATGAGGACTTTCAGATACACTCACTCTTTGTTAGATATGAGATAATAAGCTGCCCTTTAACAGGAACTGCATGCATAATGACCATGGTGGAAAGCACATTTACTCAAGAAGAAAATCCATTTCTGCATTTTGAAGGCAGTTACTGTCTGTTTTACTGCATGTTTTGCTATAGATTGAACCCTGTCTAACAAGAAATACAATATATACAAGACTAAAGCTGAAATGGAATTTGATTGTTGATAGAAAAGATATCTTTTTTGATAACTGCCAAAACAAATTACATTTACAAATGCTGACCATTTCATGCTTTTATTGTGAAATATTTTAGCAACTTATTTCGCCTTTTTTGAAGTTTGAATTATTGATATTATGACTTTAAAAACCAGGAAGTCAAGCGAACTGATTTGTTGAGAAACTTAATTGAATATGAAATGGTGCAGACATTATTTAGAATCCCACATGAAATAAATCAAATCCACTCCAACCAGCAAGAGTAAAATAGTGTAAAACACAATGTTCAGGAGTACATAACATCTGTAATATTCACATGGGTCATATCTTTGTATTGAGTACATTTAAATGAATATGTTTAAATTAACACTATGTTTTAGACTACGTTTTACTTAGGTAACATTTTTCATTCAGGACTTTTAGAGTATCAGAGAGAGATTAAAAGAGTTCAAACAGGAAAATGCTGCTGAGACTTTAATGGCTCAGGATCCATCGTTTGAATCAGAAGACAGTCACATTTAGCATCTTATCTGCTGATGGAGCTGATAATATTTGTGGACTGCTGACAATACACAAAGCTGATAAACTAAACTACATTAATGATATTTGTGTACCTCTCTGTTGACACTGCAACTAAGCTACATGAATCTGATACCTTCGTTGCAACTTTTATTGCTACATGAATCTTCCACTCTCACTTGATAACACATGAGTATTTCTTCATGTGCTGTATAGTCATTTCAACCAAGATAACGGATCTGAGTAGCTTTTCCAAAACAAAACGTCCCTCCTCTCTGTCATGCCCCCCGCTCGGCCCTCCAGCTCCGAGGAAAAGAGAGAAACAGCCCAGAAATCAGGCAGCACTCACAGGCAGTCAGGAGGACGAGGATCCCGGTCCAAATCGTCCAGCACTGAGCCATCATCTTCCGGCAAAGTAAGTCGATGAAACTCAGGCGGCCCCGGTCAGTCGGTGTGTTGGTGCTTCGGTCTTCAGCCCCCGGTGTCAGCGGAGAGCCTCTCATGTACGCAGAGAAAGAGAGAGGGAGCCCAGATGTTTTTCATCCAGATGTGGGCTGGCCCCGCCCCCTTCTACTGCCTCTGTTTCTGTGTCTCATTTCTCCACATGTGACACACAGCGGTGGAAACAGTATTCACTCAGTGTAAAAGTACTCCATTACAGCAAAGTCCTGCTTTCAAAAAATGTCCGCAAACAAAAATCATCGTAGATACTTTTAAAAAACGTATTTAAATACTTTTTAAAAACGTATTTTAAGTTATTATAAGTTTTTCGTATTTGCAGGGAAAAAACAAACAATTAAAGCAGGTGCCCTTTTTATGACTTTACATCACCTTTTCATTGAGAATTTTTTTTCCCTTGTAATTTCTTTAAAATATTACAAAAAACCATAGTGTCATCGTGTGTTTATTATTTGTACTCATTTGCAGTTAGGTCCATGAGCATTTAAACAATGGTAAATTTTTGGCAATTATTTTTAAGAGTTTAATTTTGAAAACAGGAAATGTTGTTTTTATTGCTCTTTTATTTTATTATTATTACTATTTTGTTATTACTGCATTCATTATAATCAATTATAATTTAATTTAATATTTTGCATTTACCTTATTGTTACAGAAAAAAAAATAAACGGAGATCAAAGAAAATGATTTGATATTGTTCATGATATAATTTTACACTTTACATATTTAAAAGCAGGAAAAATCCAAACGTATCAGTCCTGTTTTGACAGCCTCTTAAATGCAGTGACATTACTTACTTAATTCAAATTCTTAGCCAAACGGCACCAAGAATGTTTATAAAACTATTTTTCTGTTCTTTTTTATAGAGCAAAATCAAACTTTCATTGTAATGCATTTATTATGTTGCATGATTTTTTCTTAGTCTCAGAAAACATATTCTAGGTAAGTTCTATATATTATAATAAATTTTATTTATTTACTTTTTATCATTGTTCATCCTTGTCCGTTTTTTTTTTCATTTTTTTATTATCTCAGTTTAGAGTTTTAAAAGTTTCTTCACAGAATTTAGCATTTCTATTAAACCAATCTGAAGAAGAAACGGTGGGTGAGACTGTGAGCACTAACAGGTTTATTCCAGCTCATTAGTCAGGTTATGCTCAAACCACAGTGATGTGAGGGCTCAGTGAGCAAATACATATAAATGCTGACACAACTTTGTATCACTTACTTTCACAAGATTTTTTTTCTTACTGTGTTCCTGTTGGTTGGGTCACTGAACGAAGAAAACTTCTGAGCTCGAGATAATACATTTTGTATGAAAGTACAAATGACCTTTTGTATTTATATCTAGAAATCACTTTGTACACATGTTTTCAGGAAACAAGATGGAGACGGAAAAAGCAAGGCACAGGGAACACCTGTTATTCTAAATGGACCCATGGAAGACCAACAAAGAAGTAGTAGTAGTAGTACAAAAAGTACAGAATACTTATATTCTGATAAACTTGGGGAAATCCAGAAAGGGAATACAAGGCTTTAATTTGACATAACTCAAGAGAAAGGAGAAAAAGATAATTCTACCCTGAAAGGATTTTACTGGACTGTGAGCAGCCCATGAAGAAGAAGGACTTTTGTTTTGTTAGAACTAGACGATAGTCTTGCAGAAAAAAGGACGCTTTTATTTTGGCAGAATTGAGGAGGAACGAAATAGAGGTACTTTTATTGTGAAAGTACTTGGCTAGAAGCGCTAGTGTTGTTTCCGCTAGTGGTAAAAATGATCAAATACAACTACTCCTTATAAAAAGTATTAGCTGGATCCAGCGTAAGTTTAAAGTAGAAAGGACAGAGCGGCTCTGACAGTAACACGGTGTGCTGAATGCTGCTGTGAGCTTTAAACGGCTCCCAGGTGAACTCTCCTTCCGTGGCGGGATCAGAGTTGATGAGAGCCGGTTTACGGGCTGTCAGGGAGCCGCTATCAGCCTAATCACAGTTGAACTGTGACCCCGGACCTCTGGACTCCGCCGCACTGAAACTTGTGTGGGTTTTCTTCTCTTTCTCTATTCGAGCCAAGATGAAGAGGAGACTCCTGCTGGTGTCCAACTCCACTTTGCACGGCAGTGGTTACCTGGAGCACTGTCAGCAGCACATCTCCAGCTTCTTTGGAAAGTAAGTTAGCGCCGCGGTTCATATATGTGGGCCAGAAAGTTGACAAAGGGGACAGGAAACAGGAAGTGGGGCCAAAGTCAAGTGACATGCAAAGACGTAAAAGAAAAATGAAAGTTTTTATTTTTTATTTTGTCAGTTTACTCTGCAAACATGGATTATATATGCATTTGTATTTGATTCTTTGTAAATCCCTCTACGAGCAGGGGCGTTTGCAGAATTTTTCAGGGTGGTGGCAGAGTGGGGTGGGGGTTGGGATGAGGGGGTTGGAAGGAAAAGGAAATCAGAATAGCTGATCAGAAATAAATATGTTATAGAAAACCAGAACAGCAAAGAATGGGCACAGTTTTCTGGTTTATATAAGCCTGCCCACTCATATGTATGAAATTCAAATTATGCTGCACTTTTAATCTGTTCATAAGGTTGTATTTAATGGTAAACACAACTTATGTTTGAAAACCCATGAAACTAATAAAATGTAATTATATAGAGTACCTAATAAATATTCTTAGCTCTGCTACTCAGCATCAATGTAATACTGTAAAGTTATGGACAGAGGGCAGCGAAAATCCTTAGAATGAAACCTTTTTAAGTTTAGTGTGCAGACATTCACGACTGGTCTTGAGGTAGGACTCCTGACGGCCTGTCTGGTGTTTATCATGAATCTGTTTGTATGTATTTCAGAGACGTGAAGAGGGTGCTGTTTGTTCCTTATGCTCTCCATGATAGAGATGCCTACACTAAGTTAGCCAGGGACAAGTTTAAGACTCTTGGTAGGTTCATGTAACAGATTATTTTTGAGTCTCATACTGTACACCTGCTTGTTAGTTTCATATTCATAAAGCCTTAAGTAATTATATGCCTTTGTGTTCATGTTTAATAAAACATACATTCATTTAAGAGTTGTGTTCTACATTTTTCTCTTACTTTAATATTTGAGGGTGTGTATATATTCTATATTTTGTTTTGGAAAGCACAGTATTCAGTGTTTCTAGGAATTTTTCTGTATATCCATCTAAACATTTTTTGCCACTTATCTGGGGCCGGGTCATTGACAGTAGCAGCAAAAGCACAGAAGTCCAGCAACTGCTTGTAGCTGATGTCGGGGAACACCATGGCATTCCCAGGCCAGGCAAGAGATGTAATTAATCCAGTGTATCTGGGTCTAGGACATGCCTGGAACACTTGCCCAGGAGACATTCAGGAGACATCCTAATCAGATGCCCAACTGATTAGGATGTAACTTGCTCCTTATGGTGTGGAGGAGTAGTGGTGCAGTCATTCTAAATTCTACCTGAAGGACTGAACTCGCCACACTATCACTTAGCGAAAGCCCAGCCTTTCGAAGGAAACTAATTTCTACTGCTTGTAGCTCCAGTCTCATTCTTTTGGTCACTGCTCAGAGCTTGTGACCACAGGTGAGGGTGTGGATGTGAATCGGTTGGTAAACTGATGGCTCAGAGCAATCTACCAGTACAAAGTCCTCATCACTGGAGATACAGCCCTGTCTGTCAATCTTCCACTTCCCTATGTTGGGAACAAGTCACAGTCATACTTAAACTCGTCCACTTGGGATAGCAACTCGTCTCTAACTCGGAGTGGGAACTCAATCCTTTTCCTTCTCAGAACCCTGGCTTCAGACGACTTGGACCCACCAATGAAGCCAACAGGATCACATCAACTGCAGAAAGCAGAGAGCACCAAAGTAGAAGGCCTCTGTCTCTTTGAGCAAACAAGTAGATGGGCTCAATTTGCCTTTTTGAGCTGTGCCTGTCTGGACCACATGGGCTAAGGCCCAGCAATCAGATGCTCTACCTCCCTTCCAGGTCATGCTGCAGGGTGTGGTCCCGGTAACCCTGTCCAACAAGAGACCCTACCAGGGGCAAGTCCATAGGACATCATAGCCGATGGGATCACTGAGACACACAGACCGCTCCTCCATAGTATAGTAATAATTTATGGGTGATTCACACGTTTAAGGTGTTATGCTTTATGGTATTTAGAAACCAATTTTCCCCTGTATTTTCTGTGCAGTTTCTCCTATATATTCTAGTGTATTCTGTGTATTTTTTTGTGTTTTCTGTGCATCTTGTTGATGTAAGTCAGCGTATTTGGTCTATCTTGAGCCACAGTCCAGGGGCGATCATGGCTCAAGAGTTGGCTGTTCGTCTTGTAATCGGAAGGTTGCCGGTTCGAGCCCCGGCTTGGACAGTCTCAGTTGTTGTGTCCTTGGGCAAGACACTTCACCTACCGCCTACTGGTGATGGCCAGAGGGGCCGATGGCGCGATATGGCAGCCT